AGGGAGTTTGTCTCACGAAAGTGGCCCAAAAATAAACCTAATAATTTTAGAAAATATAAGATGGTCTTCTAAGGGGTAACTTGCAAAAGTAGAGCCCTTTGGGCGAAAATTTCGTCCGTTTTGCTCTATCTCTCACCGTTTAGGCGCTAGAGGGAGTTTCGATCACGAAAGTGGCCCAAAAATAAACATAACAAATTTAGAAAATATTGCAATATCCATCCATGGATGGTCTTCTAAGGGGTAACTTGTGAAAATAGTGCCCTTTGGGCTAAGCAGGCCCGGCCCGGCCCCTGCCGAACAGAGTTGCCGGCGGAGCGAAGTTGAGCTGTTTTTTGTTTTTTTTATCATGAATATTATTTGTTATTATTTCTTTCTGTTAGTTATTCCTCGTCATCAACTTTCCTCTCTCCCGTTTGCAAATAAGTGCCCGTTCCAAAAATGAGGAATAACCTTAACCGATTGAGAGTGTCAGCACTAAATTCCGTGCTGGCCACGCTTACAGCTCAGCCAGTCTAGAGTACTGCTCACACATTAAGATGTGCAGTCTACTTTTTGTTGGTTTGGAGTTGGATCAACATTATCTTAAAGTGGTATGGCCCTTAAGCACATTTCGGACACAACCCTTAAAATGAAATTTAAGTTTTTGTATGTTTTGTTATAAGAATTTGTATACGACTATATGCTGGTCAGTTCATATAGAACACCTGGGGTTGCAAATTTTCTTTGCAAGGTGCATGAGTCCATGAAAGTGAGAGTAGTCATTTGTGGTTAAGCAGTGGCCTTACGGGAACGCCCGTTATACACGCTGCTCAACTCAGTTCATATCTTGCTTATTTAATCATAAAGATCAATTTTCCTTGTATGCTATCGACGCAGAATTGAAAGACGAATCTATTAATAAGTTTTTCAACCGTCTCGAATTACTCCTCACAATGTAGTCTTTAAAAAATTCAGGTTCGATGGGCAGGCCGCAGCGGACTTTAATAAGGCAGCATGGAGCGCAGCCTTAACTTTAAAAGCAAATATCTCGTAGACCGTAAAAAGGACATTTCGGGTATACTGTTGTGTGCACGAAGGTTCAAAGAATATTTTCAGTGCAAAATACTGCATGATTAATTACTTGACCTTAAGGGCTATACATCTTTAAATATATATATAAAAAAGGCCGATTTTGTGACTGGGTTATGTGTGTAAAATTTAAACGAGCATGTTTATAGAAGTCTATATATTTTAAATTTTTAGCAAAGCGTTTATCACAAGCATTTTCAAAGCATAAATAACGTTGCAGCTCTAGAACTTTTCATTTAGAAAGCCTATAAATTAGTTAAATCTAAAATCAAAATAAATTATGTTGTTCAAGGTAGGATCAAATTGTCAAAAAAAGTTAGCAACTAAGACAACAACTCTTCATACAATACTATAAAATCATTTACACTGATAAATCAAGTGTTCAAACACTAAACACTACACAATAAAATACTGAAAAGTTTAACAAAAAGTGCTAACAAAACGTGAAAGCACCATATGCACACGAGTTTTATATATATTGTACAACAAAAATTTGGGCAGTACAGAATGAAATAGACACAAATTTTCCACGGCAAGAAAAGGTGTGAATCGGTACTATCATACACACAACTGCAGACATGCACAAACTACAGCCGGTCAAGCTTGAACCATATAGGCTTGTGATCGCTTATTACAGACTCAGTGATATAAGATTGAGCTGATGAATCATTACTAAAGCAGAGATCAATGAGTGTTCCGTTGTCTGTGGACACTTCAGTTTCATTGACCATGATCTGCAGCCCAAAATCACTCATGTATCCCAGCAAGGGAGAAGCAGCCGTCGCATCCTGCAGGTTGATGTTGAAATCGCCAACTACTGTTATCGCCTGCACCCCTCGCTCCTGGAGAGTCTGCATACAAGCCCCGAAATGCTGCCTGAAGTTTGACATAGTACTCAGCGGGGACCGGTGCAGAAACACGATCCCCGCCGTCCTTTGACCGGACACCAAGAGGCCGACAACATCGACGAAGGAGTGTAAGTGACCATCACGCCAAACGGTCACACTTGGCTCATGAAAAATAACTTCTACACGCCCGGTGAGCCCATGCCTGACGTACAGCGTCGTTCCAAAAGGGTGGCGCGTGGCCCTGATACAGTCCCTGCGATGCAGCAGTTCGAATCCAGGAATAGAGATGTCGTCCAGAGGCATTGTTCTAGTCTCGCACAGCATTATGATGTCTGATCTGGTATAGCTGAGGTCCTGCACAACGTGGCTGTGGTGCTTGTAAAGTGACACAATGTTATGAAACAACGCGACCAAGCCGTCGGCGTTTATATGGAGTTCAGGAAATTCGATGCTAAACTGAACCGCATTCTCTGGAAGCTCCAGCCGCTGGATCTCAATCAGGACTGAGTCGTTTGGGCCAGGTGGTGCAGGCCGTCGGTACGTCCCCTGAATGAAGAGACCCTGCAGAGCGGTGGCACGGCTCGTTCCCACGTAGAACGGGCGTCGCTCCATCCGCCGCTCCTCCCTCATAACCACAACAACAGCCCGCATGGTGCTTCCCTGACACTTCCAAACAGTCAAGGCCTTGCACACCACCAGTGGGAACTGTTTCCTTACAATCTTGAAAAGAGAACCTAACCGTGCAACGAAGGATCTCGACACGCGCTCAATTGGCGTCAGCCTGGCATCCACGCCATCCCTGGCCATAACGGCACTGTTGTCGGCCCGCGTTTGCCTACCAACAGACTCATCAGAGAACTCAATGTACAGGCGAATAGGAATGCGCTGACCGTCACCAGTGCGGCCCCACTGAATGTGCCGCAACGTTCCGCAGGACCCGTTGGTTAGGCCGTCAGGCGTCGCCAGGTTGACGGTGACCATGTATGGCGCCGAAACCCTTCCTTCCAGGTTTCGGGGCAGACCCTGCGTCTTGCTGATGGGCCAGTCCTGGACTCTCTCCAACTCACGCTGCCTAGCCCGCGCCGAGCCCTCGCCCAAGCATATGTCCATACTTGGACTTTGGCAGGACTCCGTGTCCAGGGTTCGCAGAAAATCTGCGTTAAAGTTGTCTACTTGGGCATTGGTTTCTACAATGACAAAAGCGTCACTGGGAGGGTAAATGCCCTGCTGCGCAAGCCTTGAAATCTCGCGGGACCGAAACATTTCGTCGTCCTGAATCGTTGTTTCCCCGGTAGGAATGCGGTTTAATGCCTCCGCATACTGGGTGTCCTCTTGCTGTCGCATGATCTGAGTGAGCCTGTAGAACTTAAATCGGTGCCAGAGACTTGAACCTGCGAGGACACCAATATCATCTCTGGGTGGGTCGAATATCCAAGCGTCTTTAACTGGTCGGAGCTGATTAAGGTCACCAAAGGTGATCACAGATCTGCCTGCAAATCAAAATATTGCTGTTAATGGGTCAGTCGATAAAAAATGGATTTTTAGCACTGGTTATACGAAATAGGTTACACCCTTAACAACAGAAAATGATCAACATATTGTTCAGTGATTCAGTGTAGTCTCTCTACAGACCACTGGACTGAAAATAACACCCGATTTGTCAAATTGATTCATGTTTAGGTTACAAATCGCATGTCATGACTGATATTAGTGTTCTTTAGTTAAAAAGGTTTGATTTGTGATTCCTCCGACGAAAATTGACGGACAAATCTGAGCAAAAGCTTTTTGGAAATCAGTATCACAATAACTACAAATTGAAACGGGAATTCGGTTATATCTTGTGTAACAGGAGCAAGTCAAATTATCTTTTTTTTTTTTTTGAAAAAAAACAAAAAATAGAAACTTTGAAAGTTGTTTTAATTCTGCCCCCTTATGTGGAGACATTTTTTTAAATCTCAAATGAGGAAATAATATACACCAGAAATCATCGCCCCTTAGGATAAGCACCACCGCCAGAATTGGTGCAGTGAAACAAAGTTTCTCTTTTGTTGTCAAGAGTAGGCGGAGACATGTGAAAAATTTATGAACTGAAGAGAAACTGACAGGGAAAGGAAGGACAAAATAGTACAAAGAGTGAAACATGAAGGGGAAAAAAGTCGCGGAAGTTTAAAGGTGGTACACATCGATAAATTACCTCCAAACGGCTCTTGACTGTTGAAAATCTGCCGAAGACGGGAGTCGATCTGGGCGAATGTCTCTCGGCCTACCATGGACACCTCGTCGATGATGAAGAGGCGGACGTGAGCCAGCTGAGTCCTTAGTGTGTTAAGCTCATCCGGTCCCAGAATCATGGTAGGGTTCTCTCGGAAGATCTT